CACACACACTCACACACACACACACACACACACTCACACACTCACACACTGATGTACGACTGAAGGTCTTGAACAAGCGTGTTTGTCCCTGCAGGCAGACGCCTGACAGATATTAAGTTTTATACGTATTTAAATATTTATGAATAGACCACATGTTAACTTCACTAATATGATTACAGTCGTCAGAGCAACAGGCTGCTATTGATCCTGGTGTGTGTGTGTGTGTGTGCGTGTGTGTGTGTGCGTGTATGTGTGAATGTGTGTGTGTGTGTGTGTGTGTGTGTGAGAGTGTGTCTTCACCTTCTTGGCCCAGTAGTTGAGCTCTCTGCTGACCAGCTGAATGAGTTCAGTGTGACAGAACGGAAGAAAGTAAATTATCTCGTTGATCCTCCCCAGAAACTCGTCCCGTCGGAAATGAGCCTGTAAGCATCAATCAGATCATCCGATGACACATCAGCAACCAATCACTGAGCTCCGGTGAGAAACACACGAGGATGGTGGATTACCTTCAGGATGGGGCGGATCACATGCTCTTTGAAGGTGTTGGAGATGGTGATCTCGCTCTTCTGAACGTCGTCTGTGGGAACAGAAGCAGGTCATCAAACACCACCTCCCTCTAAAAGTAAAGTTAAACGTCAGGAGTGATTGCTCACCCAGATTCTCAGCCAGACGCCGGCGGCTCTGCTCCTGAGCTTCCTGTCTCAGCTGCAATGCATGCTGGGCAATTTCATCACTAGCTGCATTGGACGTCATGATGAAGATGGCATCTTTACACTCGATCGTCTTCCCCTTCCCATCAGTCAGTCGACCCTGAACAACAGAGACACACAAACACCATCGGGAAACATTCTAGAAACTATATAATATAATAATCATAATTATCATCCTAGCAATCAACTGTTACCACACAGCTCTATAAACAAAGATATGGATATATCTATATTATCGTACTAAATCAGTCTCTTCTCACAGATAATTCTGAATGAATCTGTACCTCGTCAAAGAGCTGTAACATGATGGTCAGCACGTCTGGATGAGCTTTATCCACCTCGTCGAACAGAACCATGGCGTTCGGACACTGTTTGAGCAGTTTGGTCAGCTGACCACCTTCTTCATGACCCACGTATCCTGGAGGAGAACCGATGAACTTCGCCACCTGAGAGAGAGGAGAGGAAGACAGAACACAGACATGAAAGACAAAGAAGATGCGAACTGAGCAGATCTGACCTCTGAGGGGATCAACTCAATGATTAGATTAAAACACACACACACACACGCACACACATACACACACACACACACACACACACACTCTCACACACACACACACACACACACACACACGCTCGCACACACACACACACACACACACACACACGCTCGCACACACACACACACACACACACACACACGCTCGCACACACACACACACACACACACACACACGCACGCACGCACGCACACACACGCACGCACGCACACACACACGCACACTCACACACGCACGCACACTCACACACACACTCTCTATCAATATAATAAGAGTGTGTGATTGAATTGTGTGCGTTTAGGCTCAGGCTAAGGTCACTGTGTAACAGCGAGACTAAACGGCTTATGAAGGAGAAACAGACTTCTAGAAACACAAGCTCAGCTTCACACAACATTACTGTATGCAGTTTATAACACGACATGCTCATTATGCATTTGCAGGTACTCCACAGCAGATATTAGTGTAGGTCAGGTTTTCTCAAACTTGTTCATTAAAATACAAATTTATTTATTATTAAATTTACAAATTTTAAAATAAATCACTTACTAAAAATGTATTAAATGATAAAAATGTGAAATTAAAATGAATAATTTAAAAATAAAGACAAAAAAGTCAAAATAATTAAATAATTGTCAAATAAAAACTAATCAAAATAAAACGCTTGCAAAAATGAATTAAATCAGACAAATGTACAATATAAATAAACATTTAAATAAAAGCATAAAAATGTATAAATCATAAACTGTCAAATAAAACAAAAACAAATCAACACTTTACAAAAAATTTATTAAATCAAAAATGTAAAATTTGTACATTTTAAAAATAAAACTGATCAAAATACAAATCGTAAAAAAAGCATGAAATCATAATATTAAAATAACATTAATAATATAATATTATTAATATTAAAAATAAAAATGAAATATTAACTTATATCAGGGGATGTCATATTTGTAAATATTTTTGGCTAGAAACTAATTTTGGCAGACAAAAACAATTGGGAATCCCTGCTGTAAATTAAATTCTTCTACGGTCGTCTTCTAATTCTCTTTCAGATCAACTGATGTCATGATGGAATAACAGTTTGATCGGTTAAACAATCTGAATACTAACACATGAGGACTGAGGTCTGATTCGTACACATTCAGTATTGACAATGTGATTTTACACTTGCATTTGTTGTCTCCAGTTACTCAGACACTTTGTGAATTCTGTGCTAAAACGTGTGTG